TGTGTGTGTGTGATTCTGTGTGTGTGTTACAGAGGACACACACCTTGCACTTGACCGTCCACAGATTGGGATCCCTGAAGACGACAAACACATTTTAACAATGAGACGACGTCATTAGCTACAAACACTCGTTATCTGTGCTGTGATTGGTGGACGAGCGTTTCACGTACTTGACACCAGGAAGAAGCTGCTGCTGGGTGATGTCATCAGAGAGCTCCTCGGACCCTCCGGAGTAACTGCACACCACAGAAGAAGAAGCACATTTAGCCGTTTGTTTCACTCATGTACGAGGTTGAAGAGGAAGGAATCGCTGCCACGTAGCCAATCTCAAATGTGAAAACACACATTTCTCTGGAATTCAGCTGGAAATCTCGGGATTATCCTCAAACTGGAGACTTGGCTTCAAAATAAATATCGCATGTTGCGCTCTAAGAAACCCACATTCTGATTCAGACTTTAGGGAGACTTTAAATTAAATATAATCAAAAAAGACGGCCTGCAGGAAATGAAGAGATTTTTTTATTTGAAACTTTTAGAAACAGAAGATTATTTTTCCTCAATCTTGGATGAAAAAACCTCAATAATACATTTTTCCGACCGACCTTCAGTCAACACAAACGGTTGTTCTCTATTTTAAGACTGGACAGGGAACCAAACCCCATAAAACCAATCGTGAGTGACTTGTGTAAATACTTGTTCACAGCTTGGAAACATATTTTCACAAAGCAAAGAAAACAAAAGTACTCACTGCTCGCCTCCTGAGGACTTGGCATACTTCCTCATGTAGTATTCACCCAGCGCCTCCTCCCTGGAGTCTCTGTAACACACACACACACACACACACACACAGTTAGCCAATGATACACAACTCAAAGAAACACTTTTGAACAAAGTTCCTGCAGCCAAAGAAACGTTCTGTCGCAGGAGGGTTTCTCTGCTCGTCTGCAAGTTTGAGAACAAAGTTTATATGAATTTCTATAAATACACAAAAGATGGTCATTAGGTCATTAAATGAGCTCCAGGCGACCTTTGACCTCACAGTGTGTGTGCTTGAAAGGCTTCATCTTACTAACACAGATGTTGAGCCATTTGTTACCTCCAGAGGTTCTGCAGCCGTCTGGATCCAGAGTGATCTTCATCCAGAACCACATGGTCGATGTTGGACACTGAGAGGGAGAGAAGGGAAGGTTGCGTTCCTTAAATCTGAATTAAACAACAAACAAAAAACGAATGTGACTGCGGAGGTAAAGAACCGACTTACCTTCAGCCTCCTCTGCTCGGCACCGACCAGTGACGGACAAAGGAAAGAGAGGAGAGGAAGAGCGGGAGCGCAGAGAGAGCGGAGAGATAAAGGAAACAAAAGATCAAGGAAAAGGAAGGAGAGAGTAGAACAGTTGAGAAAAAGAAGAGGATGACAAGAAAGAAAGAGGCGGCAGGAGAAGAATAAATAACAAAAACAGGATTAAGGCAAAGCAACAGTGGAAGAGGATGAAGAGGAGGATGAAGAGGTGAGGAAGCCAAAAGACATTGTCATCAGGGCAGAGCACACAGGAGCAGAGTCAGGCAGCAGCAACACAAAGCATGATGGGAGAAAAAAACAACAGAAAAACAAACAGATTAATGGTGACAGTAGAGAAGCATGAGGCCAGTGAGGGGTTGATGTGGTTAAAGGTTGAAACCGTACAGCACAAACAGAACCACCTCCCGCAGGGTTGTGTGGAGGCGCTTCACCACTGAACCGCCGGGAATCGACCACAAAGCAACCCTTTGTTTCTCCCATCCCTCCGTCTCCACCTCGCTCCACCGGCGCCGCTGTTCTTCAGTGACCACGTGGTAGCGGGAATATTCTGCTCTGACTAATCTGGCCCACTCTGCTGTTGCTCTACATTTCCCTGATTGACAACAAGTCCTAAAAGAAATCCTCTTCAGGGCTAATAAATGACCACATGTCAGTCCCAATCACAGGAACTTCTTTTTAAAAGTAGTTAACCTTTACACATCTGAGGGTGCAGTGAGAAAGAGACGGATGATTTAATAATCCATAACTCCTAACAACAACAAATAAACAAACAGTTGTGCCGCTGGTTTCAGAACAACTCTTTATTTCTTGTGAAACTGAGCGAAACACCCGACTTTGAACCCCCGAAGAACGCCTGAGAAGCGAGCAGACGGCGTTCCCGTCACTAACCGGCCTTTGTTTTTGCCGTAGTGGTTTTGTTTCTGCTGTACGTCTGCCTTTAGTGATAGTATGCATTACCAATGTGCCACAGAAAGAAGCTTCAACCACATCTGTTAGTCAAAAACCTTTAAATAAAACCATAGCGGTCTTCTAGCAGGTAGCAGGGTCGGGCAAATGATCACACTTGGTTCTTAAGAGCTGGAATTACTTACAACAACTTCCAGATTAACTACAGCTGCTTTACGTCAAACCTCTGGAGGAATTATTACACAAACAACATATTTATGTGACGCTCCAAATCAAACTGATTCTTTCCTATTCCACAATGAAATGATTCAAAATACTACTAGCAGCCAATTGATTAGGAGAAACTGTTGGTCTGGACTTTGTAAAGGGACTAGTTGCTGTTCAAGGAGCCAATAATGGATTTGCCTTCAGTGCTTCCTCACATTAAACACACAAATACAGCTGTGCTGAGATGAGGTGGTGGTGGGTGGGGGGGTCGGTAGGGGGGTTAATACATTCTGGGACATGGATTTAATCAAATGGATAAAACTGAGACTCCATTTGGTTCAGGTGCACATGGATTATAAATGGAAACATCAGAGCGGGAGAGTGTCTGGAGTAGATTTACCGTTAACTGAAGAGGACATGCATGACAGAGACCAATAAGACAGAGAGAGTTCAGTCAGACAACATCAACACTGAACCTGAGCTCAAGCATTTTAACGACCGTTTCAGGACCTTCAATAAAAACACCACTCAAAGCCTGTTATATAGTGGAAGTAAACAGAAAGTACATTAGTGAATACACAGTTTAATGGGACTAACAGTGAGGATGGGAGGCAGCTGTCGGGCCCGCGCTGTGGTCCAACCCCGGGGTAAAGTTCACTGAAGGGTTCGAGTCTCCAGCTGGTCGCAGACTAACGTGGCTGTAGGTTGCCGTTATATAAATAAAATATAAAATAAGAAGGCTTAAGATAAACAGCGAGCCGGCAGCGAGTGAAGGGAAGGTGCATTCCTGCCGACTGACGACTAACGAGACTGGAAGAGGTCCAACAACCGGGGTCAGATCAGGTGTTTAGGGGACCTGAACTAAATTAAACCCTCTTTACTGTAATACATTTATCTCTGTTGTTGATTTTAGAGGAGGTGGGCCAACGGAAACATCAGAGGTCACGCACACAGATGGGAGTTATTTTCACTGAACGAGCCTGAACGCTGAAGGAGGGTTCACACCGGGACAGAGTCGTGATGGTCCAATCAGACGGCTGTTTATTAAGTAGCAGCCCATTAACTACAAAGGTTGTAAACTTTGTGCTTCGGTTGTTTGAAAGTTTCTTCTGTTCGATTCCCAGCAACACGAGGAGTTTAGAAACTAGCTCGAGGAGTTTAGTCCCTCAGAGTGATTACAGCTGATTACGATCGAGCTAAATTAAACCCTCATTACTGGAATACATTTATCTCTGTTGTTGATTTTAGAGGAGGTGGGCCAACAGAAACATCGGAGGTCGGAGGTCGGAGCTGATTACGATCGGCCCGTAGAGTCTGAAGCCGTTACCAAGCAAAGATAACATCGCAACTGGAACCTCCCGCCAGAAAACCAGCTCCATCTTAACGCTGAACTGAACTCTGAACATTCGCTCACTGGTTTAAAAGCGTGTGTGGGAAATGAGCAGCTGTTATTGGTTGTTGTTGTTGTTGTTATTTTGTGACCAAATGGGCCGAAACATTCACCAACACTGACGACGTCTGAGAGTCTGTTTGTCAGGAACGCTGGGAGGAAAACGTTTGTGTTTTTGTTGGTTGTTGTTTTGTTTGTTTTTTTGGCAGAAACCTACAAACGTCACACTTCATGACGGCGTGTCGTGCAGGGAAGTCACGACACCGATTACATTCCCCCATAACGATGCTGTTTACTGTCGTTATTGTTATTTGTTTCTGATTTAATACCCCTGTTTGTTCTCACTGACTCTTTACGGACTGAGTGAGCTCCAGCGTCAATACGTTGTTGTCCTGTCGGTTCTCGTGACGTCCTCGCTGAAGAGTAAACAGACAAACAGACAACAGCAGCAGCAGCAGGAGAGCGAAACCTTCCCGCTCCTCACCTTTCTCCAGGATATCTTCAGCTCCTTCCTCCCACTGATCTTCCTCGTCCTCGTACTCATCGTCCACGTCTACAGAGAGAGAAACAAACGCTTTAAAACCCCGAGCAGCCGCGACGAAGAGGAGCTGGCGTCAGACGAAGAGCGGCCCGTTCGTACCGGCTTCGTCCAGGATGAACCCGCCGTGCCTCGGCTTCTTCCTCGGCCGATCGTCATCGTCCTCCTCCTCCTCTTCGTCGTACTCCTCCTCGTCCTCCAGGTCCTCGCCCTCCTCCTCCGCTACCTTGTCGCTGCCGACGGGGCTGTTCGTCTCCTGGGCGACAAATAAAACAAACAACGACGTCGCAGGAGGATTATCAGGACAACAACGAACGTTTACAGAGTCAGAACTGTTTGTTGTTGTTTGTTTTAATGAGTCAGTCAGATATCGTGGTATATTAAACGATCTGTGCTCACCACATCTTACCAGGTGGAAAACCTACAGGTGAGTAACTCATTAACTGAACTATCGCTCGCTGCATGGACTGAAAGTGAATCCACACAGATACAGATATATTCCTTTATCACAGCAGCAAAGTGCAGAAACAACAGTGTGAAGACGGTAAGAGAGGATATAATGTAGTATAAAACAGATAACACACAGTAGCAGCAGCTGCACACACACACGGACTGCACAGTGAAACGTGTCTCCTGAGATATAAAGCCCAAACATGGAGACATTTACACATTAAAAGCAGAAAAACAGTAATTTATTAAGAATACAACCCAAAAAACCACAAACATTTCCACTTCCACTGCCTCTCCTGAGCTCCACGGTGACACACGGTGACTACCACATGAGGAGAGCAGTTTAAAAGCCCTCAGTGTGTCAGAATAATGGACTTTAAGCACTTTACAGACGAACATCCTCCGTGTTTACCTCGATGTCCTCCGCCTCCTCCGCCTCCCCGTCGCTGCTGCGGTCACTCTGGTTGTCGGAGAAGTCGCTGTCCTCGCTGTCTGACATGTTGTGTCTCTGCAGCACAGACAGCAACACATAAAGACACTTTAAAGAGGGAATAAAGGCAGCAGACATTAACAACCTAACAGCAGCCACCTGCAGCTCGGCCTGCAGCGCGGCGGCTAGCGCGCGGCTAACGGGGCTCTATCTGACCAACAGCGGCGGCGTGACGCGAACTGACGATCTCTGCGGCTGCTACTCACCTCCGGTAACTCCCGCCGCTGGGTTATTCCGCGCTAATCGGTGGGTAAATGTGAATAATCGGCTCGGTTCGATCACTCTGATCGGTCTCTGCTCACGTCTTCTTGGGGAAGCGCGAGATTTGGGGGGAAAAAGCTGCGCGAATGTCTCGCGAGATTTTGGACGAGCGGATGGGTCGAGACAGCAAGAGGTGTCACTCCGCTTCAGAATCAGAAACAGAAATACTTTAATAATCCCAGGGAAATTACTTTAGTTACAGATCTACTTACTACATATAACATATTAAGAACACATATATATATAAATAATACATAAATATATCTATATACACAAGTCATTATTGATTTGGATATTAAGTTCATTATGTGAGATATAAGTGATATTAGTCATTATTATCAGATATTAACCGTCTATTATTATGAGGATATTAAGATATTTATCACCTTATTATAGATACCTTAACGTCTCTAATTACTGAGATATTAAGTCATTATAATGACGATATTAAGATATATTAAGAGAATATTAAGTCCATTATTATGGAGATATTAAGGAATATTAAGTCCATTATTAAGAGATATTAAGTCATTATTAAGAGAAAAAAAAAAAAAAAAAAAAAAAAAAAAAAAAAAAAATAAAAAAAAATAAAAAAAAAAAATAAAAAATAAAAAAAAAAAAAAAAAAAAAAAAAAAAAAATAAAAAAAAAAAAAAAAAAATTAAGTCATTATTATGAGATATTAAGAGATATTAAGTAATGTATGTAAATATTCGTATGTTATGTTCATTGAAAAAAAGAATGAAAACAAACAATATCATTGTAAATAAACAAGTCAAATTGAAAAACAAGGTGTTTTTTATTCTCAACAGACCATTGTTGTGATATTTAACCTTATATTAAATGTTTTTCTTGTTTAATGGTTCATACAGATGAAACTGTTCTCAACTGAAATGTTCTTGGTTAATAAACAACAGCAGTTTGAGAGCATAACAACCAGTACACCATAAACACATGATACATATGCATCAAATATGATGATTATTATTGTTAAAAGGAGCATAAAGAGAACTACTGTATATCTGAACTTGAAATCTACAACTTTGTGTTGTAAATGACAAAATAACCTTCCTTATAACTCCAACTCCCATTTCTTTATTCAGCCTGCATATTTCTGCTGTTGTCATTCTTTCCTTTATTTCTTTGAGGGGAAAATGATCTGTAACAGTATGTTTACATTTTAACATATATAGTCATATATACTTATATCAGTGCGTTGTGGAAAAAAGTCGATGTGTAATTTTTTAAACCTTTCTACTGAAAAACTGCATCATATATGTATAAAATAACTTCTAAGAAAAGGAAGACATACTTTATTAATCCACTATTTGGGAAATTTCTTAAATATGTTTTTAACAATAAGATAATAAGAATACATTATAGGGGGGGGGGGGAACACATTTTCTATACTATCAACTAATTATGTATTATTATTCTTTTTACATATATACGGATGTTTAATTTTTCTGTAAACGATTAATTTAATTTGAAAACTGTATATTGTTGTTTGTAAGTTTAAGTTTTTACATTTGCCCTTGC